AAGCAGAAGCTGCTGTCTGGTAGACCTGGTGAGGCAACAGCCTAGAGAATGAAGATGCAGTGAGATGGTAGCCTCTCTCCTACACATTCACTACCGGACCTCTGCCCTACACATCCAGAAGACTTAGTTCTCTACTCTCCCAGTCCCTCTGGGAGTGAATGCTGCTGAGAACTCCTGGGATTTTAAAACACTCTGTGCAACACAAAGAACTCTTGCATGTATCTTATGATTGGAGAGTACCTTTACGTATCATTCCTATCATTATCAGCAATGAACCCTTACTAATGATATAAAATGCATAAGAACCTACACAAAACAACTTGTAGTCAGCCAATTAATTTCGGCCATAGACAACCAAAGAGGGAGAAACTGGTGCACAGAGAAGCAAATGTCAACCCTACTTTTTTTTTTAATGTTTTTTTTTATTATTACTATTTCTAGGAGAGAGAGAGAGACAGCGTGAGCAGGGGAGGGTCAGAGAGAGAGGGAGTCACAGACTGAAGCAGGCTCCAGGCTCTGAGCTGGCAGTCAGCACAGAGCCCGACGCGGGGCTCGAACCCACGAACCGCAAGATCATGACCTAAGCGAAAGTCGGACACTCAACCGACTAAGCCACCCAGGCGCCCCAGTCAACCCTACTTGAAAGTGGCTGTCTGAAGAGATCAGAGCAATGCTTTCCCACCAAACTCAAACCCATCTGATCTAGTTAAGGAAGACTATATGGTCTCTAGCAGAAATGGATTTCTATCCAATGGTTTTCTAACCATTCTTACTGCTTTCCTCCTGGGGAGTTAGGGAGAGTCCCTAACAACAATCTTTGGTCCCTACCCAAATACTGCCAAGGGATTCTTCACTGTAACACCACCTAGGAGCAGAGGCCATCTTCTCATAGGGTTGTGAGATAGTGTTGTGAGTTAGCACAGGTAGAGAGAGCACCTGGAATGTGGCCAGCACATATCAGATGCTCAGTAAATGTAGCTATTATTTTTATCAACATTCTTACATACCACTTTCCGCTCACCTCCTTCTCCCTCTTCTTGTCTGTGCAATAAGCAGACATTCCAGAAGAGTTCCCAGAAAGGCTGGGAGCAAATGAATTTTACTGGTGTGCTTCCCTGGGCTATGATACCTCTGAGACACCACCATCTTCTGGTTCCTCCTTCACAGGGGCTGCTGCCTAAGTTCCCAGGACTCAGCGGGAAAACTTCTGATGGGAAAGGCAGTGGGAAATTTCCCAACCCTTTCTCTGCTATCACTTTGCTATTCTAAGACAGCAGCAGCCTCGCCCTCCCAGGTTTGCAAAGGGGGATGTGGAATTCTCTGGGGACTCACATTGGAGGACCATCTAAACTGGAAGCTCCCAAAGGCTTCTAAAAATGCTTTCTCTAATTTTTTTTCTTTTTGAAGTTAGAGATTAGGGAAGGTAGCAAATGGGTCTTGGTAAATACAGAGGGACAAATTATGATTCGATTTTTTCATTAAATTTCTGGACGGGTGGAGACACAGTGCTCCGTGTTGTGTGTTGTGCGGTGGGGCGGGGTGTTTTCTCATCCATGGAATGCACTGCGCAGATCAACTCGCGTAAAGCGAAATAAGGAAAGCTGACTGCGGAGGTGGAGGGGGGTGTGGTATTAGGGTACTGGTGCTTGTTTAGGGGGCCGCGATTGTGAATGCGAGGGAGAGGCGTGTCAGGCGAGCGCGGGAAAGATTACCGGTGAGGCGAGTGTGTGTCTGTTTCCACAGCGCCCTGGCCCGCCGCAGCCCCCGGCTGGGCGAGGGGTGTGATGTGAGAGTGGGATGGGAGGGGGCAGCAGGCGGGGCCTGCCACGTCACTTGGAGAGTGAGGGTTGGGAAGGAAGGGCAGAGCGGAGAGCCGAGCCGCTGCAGCTGCGGCGGCTGCAGCGAAGGCTTGAGCGGTGGGGAGGTGGGTCCCCGCGCCCCGGCGCCGGGGCAGCCGCAGGGCCCTCTCCGAGGCCTGCGGCGAGACTCACAAGGAGGAGGTGGCGGCTGTGGCAGTGGGAACGGCGACCTTGGCCAGACGGAGCCCGCGGTGCACGTAGGGCGGAGGCCGAGCCCCGCCAGGAGTCCTCGCCGAGCCGGAGGGAGGCGCATCTGGCGCTTCGCTCCCAGCGGCAGCGGAGGGGCTCGGACGGCTGGAGAAGCGCGGTGGGAGCTGGGAAGAGCTAACCCGTCCGGAGGGCGGACCCCCGCGTCGCGGAGCCCGGGCTCCGGCACCGCGGGGGGCGAGGCCACGCGCCTTTTCGGGCAGCCCGTTTCACGCGCGCCAGTTTGCGCTTCCAGGTATCCCAGTAAGGGTAGCGCCCAGGCGCGGCTGTCTCTCCTGGAGGCGCGGAGCGGAACCCGCCGCGTCCAGGTCCCCTCCGCGGACCCAGCCTTGCAGGGCCCGGGGCTTCGGGGGCTCTCGGACCCAGCGGCCAGGCCAGACCGCGAGCTCTGAAGAGCGAGAGCCCCACCCTTAAACAGAGGGCGCCGCTGCGAGCCGGGAAGAGGTGCTGCGCTCCAGGGGGGTGCCGTGGGCGCCGTCCTAGCGGCGGGGAGCGCGCCGCGGAGGGGACATGAGGTCGGAGAAATCCCTCACTCTGGCGGCGCCGGGGGAGGTCCGTGGGCCCGAGGGGGAGCAACCGGACGCGGGAGACTTCCCGGAGGCCGGCGGGGGCGGGGGCTGCTGTAGTAGCGAGCGGCTGGTGATCAATATCTCCGGGCTGCGCTTCGAGACCCAGCTGCGCACTCTGTCGCTGTTTCCCGACACGCTGCTGGGAGACCCTGGTCGCCGCGTCCGCTTCTTCGACCCGCTGCGGAACGAGTACTTCTTCGACCGCAACCGGCCGAGCTTCGACGCCATCCTCTACTACTACCAGTCCGGGGGCCGTCTGCGGAGGCCGGTCAACGTGCCCCTGGACATCTTCCTGGAGGAGATCCGCTTCTACCAACTGGGGGATGAAGCCCTGGCGGCCTTCCGGGAGGACGAGGGCTGCCTGCCAGAAGGTGGCGAGGATGAGAAGCCACTGCCCTCCCAGCCCTTCCAGCGCCAGGTGTGGCTGCTCTTCGAGTACCCTGAGAGCTCGGGCCCCGCCAGAGGCATCGCCATCGTCTCTGTGTTGGTCATTCTCATCTCCATCGTCATCTTTTGCCTGGAGACCTTGCCCCAGTTCCGTGCAGATGGTCGAGGTGGAAGCAATGGTGTGAGCAGAGACTCCCCGATTTCCAGGGGCAGTCAGGAGGAAGAGGAGGATGAAGATGATTCCTATACCTTTCATCCTGGCATCCCTCCCGGGGGAATGATGGCTGGGGGCTCATCCTCCCTCAGTACTCTTGGGGGCTCTTTCTTTACTGACCCCTTCTTTCTGGTGGAGACCCTGTGCATAGTTTGGTTCACTTTTGAGCTCCTGGTTCGCTTTTCCGCCTGCCCCAGCAAGCCAGCTTTCTTCCGCAACATCATGAACATCATTGACTTGGTGGCCATCTTCCCCTACTTCATCACCCTGGGCACTGAGCTGGTGCAGCAGCAGGAGCAGCAGTCGGCCAGTGGAGGGGGCGGCCAGAATGGGCAGCAGGCCATGTCCCTGGCCATCCTCAGGGTGATCCGCCTGGTCCGGGTGTTCCGCATCTTCAAGCTGTCCCGCCACTCCAAGGGGCTGCAGATCCTGGGCAAGACCTTGCAGGCCTCCATGCGGGAGCTGGGTCTGCTCATCTTCTTCCTCTTCATCGGGGTCATCCTCTTCTCCAGTGCCGTCTACTTCGCAGAGGCTGATGATGATGATTCACTCTTTCCCAGCATCCCGGATGCCTTCTGGTGGGCAGTGGTTACAATGACCACCGTAGGCTACGGAGACATGTACCCCATGACGGTGGGAGGCAAGATCGTGGGCTCGCTGTGTGCCATCGCTGGGGTCCTCACCATCGCCCTGCCTGTGCCGGTCATTGTCTCCAACTTCAACTACTTCTACCACCGGGAGACGGAGCAGGAAGAGCAAGGCCAGTATACCCATGTCACTTGTGGGCAGCCTGCACCAGATCTGAAGGCAGCTGACAGTGGACTTGGCAAGCCCGAGTTCTCAGAGACCACTCGGGAACGGAGACCCAGCTACCTTCCCCCTCCACATCGGGCATATGCAGAGAAAAGGATGCTCACTGAGGTTTGACTGATGCAGGCAGGGCATGAATGAGAAGGACGACACTGAGCAAACAGTGTCAGCCTTCCTTCTCATTCTCCACTCCCCTCACCCGAGCTCCAGCCGACTTCCTGACTCCCTCCCCTGCACCCAGTCCAGATACCTGGACTGTCAGCCTTGTTGCTTGATCTCTGCGGCATTCAAGGTTCATCCATCTAAGTGACATTTTTGAAATTCTAACGGTGCCACCCATTCGTACCCATCTTCTGTCATGTGGATGAGATTTCTGTCTGACCTTCCCTCATGACTGTAAATTTTCATGTCTGGGCCTTGGGATTCTCTAGGAACAGAGATGTCAACAAGATGGAAACCAGGCATACCTGGGTCCTATTTCTCTCCTTAGCGTCCTTTGCTTTGGGGCATGCACCTGTCAGCTTCTGGTTATGTGATAACTAGCAGAGGCTGGAAGAGTGTTCATCTTTCTGTTTTATTCCCATGCCTGGTGACACCTGCTAGTCATCCTTAAGAGGACCTTTGGTAAAGCCTTTAGCTGCACAACCTCCAAATATGTTATTCATCTCGAATCTTGGAAGGGATTAGAGAAACTACAGTTAAACTTGGCCATTTGGAGGACATTAGAATCAGTCCCAGACCAAAGGGGCCAGTGGATTCTTCCAGGTGTGCCCTGGCACAGTGGATGTCAGCCTTTGGTCTGCATTCAGTCCTTCCCTCCCCGACTGTCTAGCTTCCAGGAAGGTTCCTTCTCAGAGCCAAATACTCTTTTTGTGCAAGTGCCTTCCTGTGCAGAGGAGCTGGAAGGAGGGAACCACAGAGCCAGGAGAAATGGCTGAATAGACTCAAGCAACTAGCTTGACGGCATATCTGAAGAGAGGTATCAGTTAAGCAGCCATTGTCATCTGGGAGGCCTGCAAAGAGAAGCCTTGTTGTAGACGGCAAATTTCCCGTCCTCGCTTGCCCCCAACCTTCTCCAGCGCCCGACCCCCCTTCTTCCTGGGAATTTGACTTAGGATTACAGTTGAAGGTTTTCCAAAGCAAACTCCAGCTTACACTCGCAGACAGGTAAAAGCACACGTTGGATGCTAGCGTGGGTTTCTTCCCACTTATGTGCAATGGAATAGGTTTAGAGTAAGGAAGAAACATCATTCCTTTGTTGACAGCCTCACCGTTAGAGGTTTTTTGCTGAGTCAAGCAAACATTCACCTGCTCTGCCCCTTGAAGCGGCAGCTGACCTGCTCTAACTGGTAAGGTAATGTTATCACCTGGACTGAGTCATCCTCTTCCAGGGTGAAACTGCTGCCTTCAGCCCACCCACCCACCTCCCCTCATTTCTCTCCTGGTAACATTGTCATTTGTTTGTTGCCTTGAAAAACTGTGATGTACTGTTCTGAGCTCTTCTGGGTGCAGTTCAGAAACCGAAAGGACTGTTAACATGTTTTTAATTTTGTATCTATGCTTTAAGACTCTTTGATGAGGATTTTGTTTTTTAAAAATTAGTTCCTCAAAGAGCAATTTATGAGGGATGGCCTTTTGAGGGTTTTCTTGAGAGACACTGTGGCTCCTGTGAGTGCCAGATCTAAATCTGGATTTTGCCACAGTTTTACAGGGTAACACAGTTCCTCTTTGTGCCTCAGTTTCCCCACTCATTAAATGGGAACGTTAATGTCTTCCCCTCCCTACCTCATGGGGAATGTCGATGAACTCATCTGGGAAGCTGGGGATGATGCTATGCAAATGTGTGAATTTTAATAAGGGACTTGATTTTTTAGTTCATCAGTCTGTTTCCTTCCCCGTATCCCAGAGTCAAATGCTCCCCAAAGAGTTGCTGCCTTGGATTCAAACCCCAAAAGTAGGCCACACTAGGCTATTAGCTCCTTAAATCCCTGCTTAACCTCTTGAACTGGGCCTCAGTTTCTCTTCTTACCCTTCAGCAAGGAGGATGCTCTTTAGACTGGCTCAGTGGGATCCTTCCAGGGCCAGAGGCCACCTTGATTGGGAGCTTGGCTTCTCCAAGCCTGAAATACAAATAAGAGGAGTTCATGACTCAGTAATCTGCTCTGAGGCCATAAAGTTCCAGTTTTCCAAATTCCTTCAGTTACTTCTGGCTATTTGGGGAAAGGAGAAGGGCCCACTACATAGGCAATAGGGATGTTTCCAGTGAGGGTAAATGTTGGAACATGTATGCATGTATCTCTATATGTGTGTATGTGATCATCCTCATCACCATCCCCAATGAAACATTTCCTCTTCAAGTCAGAGCATGCCTGAAAGTAAAGGGTTTGTGGAGAGCTGGGCTCTCCAGGGACTCTGGTTGCCATAGCAACCTTCCAGACTGTTCTCTCTATCTTCTGATTTGGGCAGCAAGGGAGAATGAGAGGCTACAAATTCCCAGCTTCCGAAATGGGAACACCTCCTACATAGTGGTTTCAGGGGCCGGTAATGACCGGTGGGATGTGTGACCTTTGGAAAATGAGGGGACAGCAGCTCCCCCAAACTTCCTCCCTGGACCTTTCTTCCTGGTCTCCCCAACCTGTCATCGAAGCTGCCTCATCTCACCCCTGATCCTTCAGAAATCTGAATGCTAAGCAACTGCCAGTTAAACCAATGTCAGTATTATCTTTTTCAAAACGACAAGGGGAGACTTGGAGGGGACACGCTCCTCAAGAGGTGGCCAGGCTGGCACCTTGCCGAGAGTCCTGACAGTCATGGTCCGTAACAGTGTCCTGGAGGTCCCATCTCCTCAGAGAGAGGCTCCTCCCAGTTCCCAGAGAGACGGAGAGAAATGCCACTTCTTCCTCCCAGGGAATAGTCTAGCTCTGATCCTAGCCATCTCATAGGTGGCTCTCTTTAAGACATCGAAGAAACACGGAGAGGCTGTGACCTGACCTAGTTTCTGTGAAGGATTTTGCCAAGTGATCCCTCTCTGACTCGGAGTTCTTTATGTGGATTCTGTGCCCTGAGCGTCAAGAGAATATGTGCCCTGTGCTGCCCAGACGGCTGGGGTAGTGATGTCGCAGCTGCCGGCAAAGGCAGGGGTCAGCCCTTCTTCGTTCTACCTGACTCGAGCTGGCAGGAGCTCCCAAATGCCTTCCTGGATCTGGCAGGCACAGCGGAGATGTGGAATAGTCCTCCTGCCCTGATCTTCCCCAAGGAGAGAGTGGGACAGCTGGCCACCTTTGCATCTGAGGTAGGTTCTACTGTTGGGGAACTTGGTTTCTGGCTCGGAGCTCCGGGCCAGATTAGAACTGGGAGAGGCAAGCCCCTGCATTCTGGAGACTTGGGGCTTTGATTTCCCGTTCCTCAGCAGCCATCTCCCTCTCCTGTGTATTTTCTGTGACTGTGTGGACTTCAGTGTCCTTCCTCAGTTTCTGCTTCCTCACTGCTGTCATCCCAACTCTTTCTAGTCACCTCCTCTTCTCTGCACCTCCCCTTCCTTCTAGTTATTCTCATTTTCTCTGCCCCCCCCCCCCGCCCCGCTTCTTGTCACATCCCTGGCTTTTGCCCTTCTGTTGTTTTAATCTCTTCTTTCTATAGGTGTCTTTCTTTCTATCTTTCTCTTTCTCTCCATCTTTTTAGTGGCTGGGGGCAGCTGTAACATTTCTGTTGAGATCGCCCCTTGAGCTCTAGGACAGCAGTGATCTGGGGTGTTTGCTAAGAAGACTGTTATCCAGCTGGAGGACCACCCCCCCCCCCCCACTTCCCTGCCAGCTCTGTGGACCATCATTTCCTTCCAGGCTGGCCCCTGTGGGCGCAAGTCCTGAACTTACAGAGCAAGATGAGATTGTGCCAGGTTTAGAAAAATGTCTCTGCAGAACTTTCCTGTATCTTCCAAAATAAAACAAAGAAGGAGAGAGAGAAAAAGGGAGAGATAGAGAGAAAGAGAGAGAAACTCCAAGTCCCTCAACCTTAAGAAGCTTATAGAAAGGTTCAAAACAAAACAATGGTAGACATTTTTTAAAAATTAAAAAAAAAAATAAAGGAAGGGAGTTGCCTGTGTAGCTCAGTTGGTTAAGCGTCCTTCAGCTCAGGTCATGATCTCACAGTTCATGAGTTTGAACCCCGCATCGGGCTCTGTGCTGACAGCTCAGAGCCTGGAGCCTGCTTCGGATTCTGTGTCTCCCTCTCTCTCCGCCCCTCCCCCCTCATGCTCTGTCTGTCTCTGTCACTTGAAAATAAACATTAAAAAAGGTTTAAAAGAAACAGTAGAAACAGTAGGTTACACACAAAAATGAGGATTTAGGAGGAAGGCATAAGGGTGGAATTAGCCTTGAAAAGCCTTAATGCAGGAGTGGCTGTCACACTGCCCTAATTCACTTGAAGGCCCCTGTAGCATCCAGCTGTCTGTCTCGCACACTGAAGACAGAACAAAGCAAGGGCGTATATCCCAGGGGTGCATGGTGCATGGGACGCTCCTTGACAAGATGGATTAAAATTCTCTACCCGTTGGTAAAGGGAGCTGTGTGTGCGGGATGTCGCAGGCTATAGGCAGGCCCACCTGCAGCAGGACATCAGGGGCTTTTTGGAGGGAAACGGACATTTTCTAGAACAGGATTATGGTGATAGATGTATAACTCTAGAAGTTAACTGAAAAAAGTATTGGATTGTGGGTCGGGGGAAAGCGGCATGAGGCTGATAACCTGGGAGTTTCACACATTGGCTGGGACAATGGTTTCGTTTTGTAAATCTAGAAGGTTATCATCTCTGAAGATGGACCAGCTTAAATATCCAGGTTGGAATGACATTTTTTTTCTTCTGCCACTTGGGGACACTTTAGAGCTTTCATGCAGTTTGCTCCTTTCTACTCAAGTGTGGTGCCAAGAACTGCCTTTTTTTTTTTTTTGACAATCAAATCATTGTGGGGTTTACATGCTTTTTCTTTTTTTGCTCAAGCAAAAGAAAGGTCAAAGCTATTTTTGGTAAGTGCAGGGCATGATTAGCACATATTGAACTAGGGTAAGTATGTTGGACATTATTCATTACATAGGATTGAGGCAGTGAACTTGCCCAACGGGTTCATATTCTGCTGGCAAAACAAAGAACAAAAAAGCTTCAAAATCCCCACAAACAAACCAAAAGCCCCACCTAGTCTCTGCACCTGTAGACTCAGGATTCCTTAAGCAATTGTACAGGAGTGGAGGTTTTATTCTGCGGGCGACCTTCCCATCCTCGTCTCTGACCCTTTACAGCCGCTGTGGGGTCCCCGCGGCTGTTGGTGGCTTTGGACACACAGGAGTGAGTGGTGACCAGTTTCCATCAGCCTACCCTTCTCTGTGACTGTCCATGAGACATTGCTCTTCCCTGGCGGGGCGGCCCTCACTGGGTACCATCCTTCCCTCCCCATGGCATTTCTCCTCACATGACACCTCCCGGTCCCCTTGCTTATCATTCCTTCTGTGCCCTGGCTGAACCCTTGCTGTATAGGCAGTATTTCTGTCACCCAACATCTCTACACAAATGCCAAGAGAGATTCCCAGAGAATACTGTCCTCCTGGGACAGTCTGGCGGGAACCTCTTTGCCAGCCCTGATCGGTTTTGACTGTGTGCTATTGCCCTGGGAAGCAAAGTGTGTTCTGATCCTAGCTTGTCAAGGTCACTTAGGAAGGAAAAGGAATCCTTTAATTCTTTAAACTGTAGGATTTCCTCTCTCCATTCTGCTTTATACTGGGAAGCCTCGGGTTGCGCAGACAGCTTCTGGCAGAATACTGCCTGGGGCTTGGGGCTTTAGTGGGAGAGGGAACTTGGCAGATGCAGGCCACTGGGAGTAAAAGACAGATGGGCTCTGAGTTCTCATGTTACTGTATCTCCCAGTGAACCACCTTCCTGTTTTGGGCTTGAGGTCCCTGTGGGATTGGAGATGGTCGTGTCGTGTCCCTTTGCTCTGAACCCCTAGAGAAAGGAGTTTGCTCTACCTCTTTGTCCCTTTTTCATCCTAATCCCCTGCGCACCCTAAGGAGGGGGTGAAAATCTATCAGCGACCACTTTGGAAGGACAGACAAGGCACTGACTCCCTGGGTCCCAGAACAAAAGAGCAAAAGGGGCCGTAAGTATCATTAACACTGGTCTCATCTTGGCTATCACTTAACCTACTTAGGGCCTAGGCCTGGTGGGGTTGTAACTTTTTTTTTTTTTTTTTTTTAACACAACTCTGACCTCATCATTGTTACTGTGAAGGGGATTTTCCCTTAGTCTGTCATTGGCCTCAGCAGACACTCTCTGGCTGCCCCTAGAAAACATCTTGGCACTGTAAGCAGCCTCTGCTACAGGCTGCAGGAAGCACAGACAGACCCCGGCTCTTTGGTAAGATCAAAACCAACATTTCAAAAGGAAATCGCAGCCACATAGTCTGCTGGCACTGCTATTTTTGACATGCTTGCTGTTCTCTCAGGGCTTGACAACCTCTGTCTCCAGGAGACAGACAAACCAGCCCTTGGCAGGAGAGACACTTTGCTCTGAAAAAGAACCTAGGGAGATAGTCTTGTGGCTGGAGGGGCCAGGAAAACAAGCCATTCCTCCCTCTCCTCCAGGATGCTCTGCTTGTGGCCATCAGGGTCTGTGGATCTGAGGCTGGGGCACCATTCTGGCTTGGTGAACCCTTTCTCTGCTCTGGTCCTCCCCAGTGAGAGTGGTCCTAACAAGAATGAGGATGCCACCATCCATTTAAAAAGCATTTGAAATGCCTTCAGTGCTCTCAATCATGTCCTATAACAAAAAGGTTAGGAGCATGGATTCTGGAGCCAGCTTTTCTGGGTTCAAATCCCACCTCTGCCACTTGCCTGCTGGGTGACATGGGGCAAATTCTGAAACTTCTCTGTGCCTCAGTTTCCATTTCTGTAAAGTGGAGGGAGAATAATAGTACCAATTTCATGGAGCTGTTTTGAGGATTAAATGAGCTAATACATGTAATGTTTGTGTAATATGTAATAATATGTATGCAGTATACTGTGTAACAATATATCAGCTCTCTTCAAAGATTAGCTGTTACTACTATTATCCTACAACAACCAAATGAAGGAGGTAGGCCAGGCATTATTTTCCTCTGGCAGATAAGACAGTTGAGGCTCAGAAGGTATGTTCAAGGGCACACAACTAATGTGTGACACATCGCCCTCAGGGGAGATATAATTTACAGAACTCAGTGAGGGTCTGATTAATACTAAGCAAGAAGAGAAAATGAATCTGTAGTTCTGAAATGTGTATAGGTTTTTATTTACATGCTAATTTGTCTCTTAAAAGGGAAAACCAGAAGGTGTCCTATGTGTGTGTGTGTATATAATTTATATATATGTTTCATATAGCTGTATATACAGATTTTTATATATGCAAATATATATACACATATATATGTATGTGTATGTATGTATATATATATGTATATATGTGTATATATATATATATATATGTGGGTGTAAAGATGGACAGGTTTCCCCAGCTATCCAAAAATAGAGCATTCCTGTGAAAGCTTTCATAAGCCAAATGAAGTAAAGCAAAGAAGCAATTACCGTTTCCTAAAAGCGAAAATCCTCTTTGGATTTCTTTGGGTTAGTGAGATCAGGTACTAGCATAGGTCTTTAGTAAAAACAAGTCTGTATTAAAAAAAAAAAAGCAAAGTAGTGTAAAGAGAACTTTGGGATAGCAGGGAAAACCTTTCATTCTTTCTATACACCCCTCCTCGCTGCCACCATTGTTTTCCGCCCTCCACATTTTAACTCCACAAGAGCCTTCCTCACACACTTCCTCCACATCTTCCTCCTTGGGACAAATGCAGGGTCCCACAGTTAGCCCTAAGGATGGAGCACATAAGTCAGACTGCAGCTCAGTTTTCTGGTACTGTTCCAGCGGTCTTCGCAGTCCCACTTCCCCCAGTTGCGTCTTCAGCATCCCCCTCTGATCCCTAGCCATTTTCATGACCCACTGCGCACCCCCTCCCAACTCTGCAGGTGGTGACACCCTGTAACATTCCTAGGGTGTGCTCCAGCTTCCCTTTCCTCTTTTCAGGGGGAAGAGATAGGAGGTCCTGGCGCGGGAAGAAGATAGCCTTTCCTGCTCCTGAGTCTGAATTTGTTTCCACTGCAGCTCTCTCTGGGGGTCCCAGACTCAGGCCAAATGCTCAACTCATCCTGTGCTCACTCCCACAGCCGCGCCAGCTTGCACAGGGGACCTGGCCCAGGACAGAGCAACGGGGCCACCCTCCACTCCCCATTCTGACTTCTTGGTTTGCTTGCCTTTGGAGGTAGAGAACTTGCCTCTGAATCACCATTATTAGCTGGACCTCATTTAACCTCTCTCCAGCTTTGTCCTCTGCAAAATAAGGGAGCTAATTCCACTTGCCTCACGCAGTTGTTGGGAGGCTCAAACGAGAGGCACGTTAAAGAGGTTCGTGGGAAATAAACTCTCAGCGGAGCATGGCCGAAGGGGCCCCAGTGACACTGAACAGCCACCAGGGAGTGGGGCTAAAACCACCTGTACTCTCAGAGGAAGGCAGGATCCCTGCTGACTTCAGTTCTGTTCTCTGAAACAAACACTGAAATGAAATATGATATAAAAAATAGACTCATGGTAGCTAGCTATTTTATCCAGAAGGCTCTTTGCCTGAAGCATTCACAGCAGAATCTGTTTAAATAATTGCACTTAAGATGTGATTTAATATATAGGAATGTAATCTGAATGTATCTTGTAAGAATAGAATGGATATACCGGTAACATTTTTTCCGGCCAAGGTAGAAAGTCCTTCCTGGTAGCACCAGAGCACTGGGAAGGACAGTACTGACGGTCACAGCGTCAGAACAGGAGGGCTGGGAGGGACCCTAAATTCTCCTCTTTATGAAGGAGAAGGCCGGCTCAGACAAGTGGAAAGATTAACCCATGATCACAGGCAACTCAGGGCATAGCTGGGTTTAGGACTCACATTTTCTAACTCCTCCACTAGTATATTTTTCTATGGAAAATGGAAGCCTAAGGAATAAACCTAGCCAATTTTATTCATTTCCCACCCAACCAAACTCCTTAGCGCAGCTGTTCATAGGAAGTGGAATTAAGTGCTTTTTAATTTCATCTCTCTCTACCCTGACTTTCCGAGGTACAGAGGCAGCAGGCTGAGCTAGAGAAATTCATCAGATAACCAGCTCCTAGATTTGTAAGGAATGAATGACTAAAAATTGTTACTCTAGTAAGTACCAAAGGTATTTTTGCACCTGACGAAGACAGACTCATGTACAGGCTCTGGCCTGGGCAGCCAAGCCCTGAGCTTTTAATCTTACCAACTAAGAGGCTATATATAACCTTTTAGGGCTATCCTTTTAATGTTAAATTTAGTGCCTGGGCTGCAGGAAACTGTCACAGATTGGAAGTCAGGAAAGCAGGAGGTTATTGGAGACTTCTGTATTTTAAAGAGAGAAGAAGGGATGAAGAAGTGAGTATCTTACCCAGGAGTGCTGATTTTCTGATGCCCTGGGAAACAGACATCCACTTCTAGATTCTTCCCTGTACTTTGTTGCCCTGGGAGAGAAAGAGAAGTCACTGTTGGTTACAGATTCCTTTTATAAATCACAGGACTAGTGTCAGGGGGAACAAAGTTTCCAGAAGCCATAGTGGCTGAGCCATAAATCAGACAGGCGCTCCCCAGCTGCTCTAAGGCAAATTGGCCTTGCTGGAAGGAGAGAGAAGTCTGGCATGTTGGGGGAAAGAGTTTGTATCTCTTGTAAGACTGTTCTCTGTGCTTTGGCGGAGGGGTCGCATTCACCCAGGGGCAGCACACACACATGTGCATGTGGAGGACCCAGGCTCCAGCCACCCACACTCAGCCACGGTAGCTGCCCTCTGCTTCTCTGAACGTGTGTTTGGTTTTCGTTCTATTTATTTGCCTAATTTTTTTTTCTGCACCTGCAACCCCTTGGCAGATGGTTTAATATCCTTGCAGAATTCCAAATAACAATCCCAGAGCACTAACCCAAAACTGTGCAGGTTATTCCTGATAATAGGTCCTAAATCAGTGACTTGTGGATCACGTAGGATTCAGGGCTAAGAAATACTGGATATGACAGTTTTATCTCAATAACACTGGGAAAAGATACAAGAAATATTGGGAGATTTCACATGCAGACTTTGACCTTTGTTTTCTTTTGAAAAATCAAAGGTCTGGTCTTGTTGATTTTGCATTTCAGCTTTCTGCCAGCTGAGTGAGGGGAGTGGGTTCTTTTTTGCCCAGTGCCCACTGAGTGCCACCCAGTGCCCAGTAGCCAAGTACCATTTTTTTTTTGTGCCCACGGGATTGGTTCCTTCTAGGTGGGAAACATTTCCTATGTGTACATTTCTACTAAGGGCACTACGCCCCCATCCCACTTCATCTGGTGACCCCGTGGATGCCGATGCGTTACCCCTCTCAAAGCCTTCCTATCTGATCTCATTGAATTGAGTCTCAGGGGACTGTTAGAGGGGGAGGGGACAGGTGTGTTTATTAGGAACAGAATGAAAGCAGAAGCGAGGGCTGACAGACTGTGGAGGAGGCAGTCACAACTCCAGGCAAGACACAGAATTGGATGGCTTCTTGGAGAAAAGTGACCTTGCAGGAATCAAGAACATGCTAAGTTATGTTCTCTGTCCAATTAAGTGGGCAAGGAGATGTGTGATGCAATTAAGGATTTCCCTCTAAAATTATTAAAATACAAAAAAGGCAAAAAACCAAAAACCCCAAAAAGGCAAACATCGGTGTTTGGGTATTTCTGACTTGAGACCAGCTGCCTACTTCTGTGATGTCACATAGTGAGACATCACTCTGTTTGTGCTGGCTGGCACTGAGCATTACGAGTGGGGGTCATCAGTGGGATCCTGTGGCTTTCCTGGGTAAGAGTTGGCCACCAGCCATGGGCTCTGCATTAGTGCGACATTGTGAAGCCCACGGTTAGCCCTAGATCCTTTCTTCCCTCCTTTCCTAGACTCTTCTTGTCGGTTTCAGCTCTTACAGACTCTTCTGTCTCTGGGCTTTATTGGCCCCAAATGAGCTGACTGTAGAGTTGGAGCTATGTCCAACATTATTGTGTTGGGAGAGAGGTAAGACAGGTTCTCCTCTTTTCCTTGCTTTACCTCTTATTTCATAAAAATATTTCAGGGCCAGAATTCAAGTGGGGAGTGTCAATAGCAATTTGGGCTAGAGACAGCTCAAAATCCTTGGCGTCTCAGGAGGGAAGCAGGTTTCATATTGGTCATCCCTTACTGGAGACAACTTTCACTTCTAAAGACCCAAATTTTTTTTTAATATTTTATTTACTTTTGAGAGAGAGATAGAGACAGCATGAGCAGGGGAGAGTCAGAGAGAGAGGGAGACACAGAATCTGAAGCAGGTTCTAGGCTCTGAGCTGGCTGTCAGCACAGAGCCTGATGCAGGGCTCTAACCCACGAACCGTGAGATCATGACCTGAGCTGAAGTCGGACACTTAACCGACTGAGCCACCCAGGTGCCCACACTAAAGACCCAAATTGAAAAGGACTATATGACCCTTCTCCTCTCTACCCCTGCTGCCCCTCCCCCATACTTGCCCTTTCTAGGAGCACAGGAAAAATTAAATCAGCATGGGCCTTCCATCTTAATGCCTGTCTGCCTCACTTTTTCCAATAGATGTTATTCTGAAAAGTTGTTTTTGTCATGAGTGTGTGTATGTGTGCATGTGTGTGTAAAAGTAATAGAACCACCTTCCTATCAGAGGTGATTTTAATAGGCAGGGCCTTTTCACATTTAAAAGAAATCAGGGCACCTGAGTAGCTCCGTCGGTTCAGCATCTGACTTCAGCTCAGGTCATGATCTCAGGTCATGAGTATGAGCCCTTCGTCAGGCTCTTTGCTGACAGCTCAGAGCCTGGAGCCTGCTTTGAATTCTGGTCTCCCTTTCTCTCTGCCCCTCCCTCACTCATGCTCTGTCTCTTTCCCTCTCTCTCTCAAAAATAAATAAACATTTTTTAAAAAAGAAAAAAAAGAAATCCTAGAATATAACTAAATTTAAAAGAAAGTATATGGTCTGTAGAAAAATGCACTTAAATTAGTTTATGGCCTACTTCATACAATTATAATTCTGTCCTCCGGTGGAAGGACGGGATGCTGTGGTATTAGAAATTGTGGGGATTGCCAACCAGATTTGAGAAAGAGCCTTTTTATTTGCTGGAGGAACTAGGGGATATTTTTCAAAACGTATGTTCAAAAGTGGGAACAGACTTTTGTAACAAACTCTGTTACAATTTTCTCATTTTCTTGCTGCGTTTCTGTCTAGATGATGAATTTCCAAGTGTATAGCATTATATCTCCCATGCCTATAGCTGTGTCAGCTGAGAAAGGATGGGAGAAATGAGGCTGTGGGCCCGAGTCCACTGTGTCTCTCTATTAGCCATGTGGGAAGGGGTGATGATAGCAGTCACTCCAGGAATCAGCATCCAGGGCTGCCACCCTCTCTGTGTAGCTGTGTGGCGTTGGGAACACTGGAAACCTCTCTGAGCTATGGTTCTCTCCTCTGTAAAATCAGGCCATTGATAGAGCATCCCTTATGGTGGCCAGTGTGGTTAAAGGAGATGATGTTAATAAGGAGCATTGCAGGTCCTCGCATGTAGTAAGCATTCAATAAAAGTGGGTTATTTTTTCATGGTCTCTCTTTTTGGCCCGCTTCAGCACTATACCCACTGAGGCATAGGGAGAGCCTCAAAAAATTGCACAATCTTTAGAAGTAACTAAAACCACTCAAAGCTCATGTAAATCTAGATCTTTAGGAAATATATGTGCAATAGTTTATCTCACTTTGTAGATTGGATTTCCTGATCTAACACTGACCATGATTCAGGTATGTAATTATCTAATACTTGGTTGTAACACAGGTGATGCCTTAGACTGTAACACAGTCTAAGGGTCTTAATACCCCCTTAGACTGAACACTGCTTTCCTGCTAAAACAAGGCAGCATAAGAGAATACTCAGTGGTTCTGATGATCCCTTTAGAAAGAATATAAGCAGGGGCACCTGGGTGGCTCAGTCAGTTGAGCATCCAATTCTTGATTTTGGCTCAGGTTATGTTCTCATGGCTTGTGAGATTAAGCCTGGTGTTGGGCTCTCTGCTGACAGCATGGAACCTGCTTGGGATTCTCTCTCTTTCTTTCTCTCCCTTCTTCTCTCTCTCCTTCCCTTTCTCCCTCCCTCTCTCTCTCTCTCTAAAAAAGAACATAAGCAAAATCCTGGGAAGCAGTGAGAATTTCCAACACACTTAGGAATTAACTGGAAGTCAAATAACTAAGTGTAGAAAGATCATGTGGTTCAGCTACTCACTTGCCTGACTTTTGGGCTTGCCTTGAGTGAAAGAATGAGCTAAAAGGAATACTTTGAGGTATTCCTGCACAAGAACGCAGGAAGCTTTCCTTCAGTGCTGAACAGGTCATAAACATGCCTTTCATGATGCATTTGAGGTCAACTTTCTTCAGAATTGTGACACAAGCCAGTGGAAAATATGACTTGATTTACAGATAATGTTATTTCTTTACATACAACATTTCAGGAATGCATTTAATTTGCAAGGAAGTCAGCTGCACTCAATGATGTATAAGTAGAGAATAAGACAAGATGACATACAAAAATTGAGCAGGCAGTGGTTTCTAAAAGTCAAAGAATCCATTACTCTGTCCTGCATTAGGAAAAGTTCATTATCCCAGGTGTATTCTGAAACCTCCCCACAACCAGGGGATGAGAGAAAGAGAGACTCCAGGGATGTTGTAGGATTGTTTTCCTCCTATCTTGGTTACACATCTGCTGTTGTACCTTAAAATTCCTTTCTACTATTTTGTACCGACTGAGATGGATACTACTCAACTGACCATATTACCTAGAATAACGCCTTATGCCAGAATTCCTCAAAGTATTAGTTCCTCAGAGCTAATTCCCATGGAAAAAGAGTCCCCAGCTACTATGTCCCTGCTTATTGGAAATACACAATACATGAGATCGTAAGATTAAAGGTCCTGAGAAGTCCTGCAGTGAATAAACTAATTTTACCTGTTAAACCAGTGTTGTTCAAATTATTTTTACCATAGTATCTCCACCCCCTTTCTGGGGGGGACTTCTATTCACATCCCACAAAAGCTGTAATCCAAGGAATAAATTTGGAGAAACTCAAAGACATCTGAAACTCCTTATGATGAATTTTAGTCCATGGAACTTCAGTCCTTAAAAGGTTTTCTTGAATGGACCATTTTGTGGCTTCCTGTCAACCTTCTGAAAGTTTTTCACACTCCTTTTGAGTCATACAGAGACATACAGAATCCGTGTTTTGAAAGGGCTCTGAATCATGTGAAAGAAGATATCCTCCCCTTTATTGACCTTCCAAGCCTTCTTAAATAGGAACCTTTGAGAAAAATAACTGTAAAATTTGGTCTTATTGGTTCAATTTAAGGGTTTCCGTTCTATTTGCTGTGAATGTCCACACCTGAGACGCACTTCTCCAGACTGATAGCTTACTGGTAGCATTGCCTGGTGATGTAACAGCCCAAGTTCTATGCATGGCGTCAACAAAATCAAATTATAAGGTGCATCTCTATTTACAAGTACTTTTCTAACTAAAACTAGAACTTTTCATAAAAACATTCAAGCATGCCTTTACTAACGATCATATTTTAAAAATATTCACAATCTGAACAAGACTCAAAAAAGATACTAGCAGTGAGCTCTAAGTACACAGGCTCTTCAGTCTTCTTTCATGTTACCCTAAATTTTATTTTAAATGTTTTTTATTTACTTCTGAGAGAGAGAGAGAGAGAGAGAGAGTGAGCAGGGGAGGGTCAGATAGAGAGGGAGATACAGTATCTGAAGCAGGCTCCAGGCTCTGAGCTGTCAGCACAGAGCCCGACGCGGGGCTCGAACCCACGAACCGCGAGATCATGACCTGAGCTGAAGTCAGACACCTAACCGACTGAGCCACCCAGGCGCCCCCCCTAAATTTTTTTTCAAGGTATTCTCCCAAGGTGCTTCAGCTGCTGGTGCCTCCAGTTGGACCCAGTTCCTCCAGTACTGGGACTTAAGTCCTCTGGGCAGCTCTTCCTGCTAGGTGCTCTTTGTGCCACCAAGGGCTCTTACCTTTGACTGTTCATCCCCAAAAAGGTCTGATGCTCACTGTCTACTCCTCCACCAGCTGGTCCAGGGCTACAGCCCTTTCTCCATGGATTCTTCTCTGTGTTTAGAGGTAAAAGGAGAGAGGATGTAGGTGATCTTGACCCATTGTTACCTTTGTAAATGTTGTTCCTTTTCTGGACATTTTGGGCTATGAGGAGTGCCTGTTAGCCAGTTCATTCTTGCATCTTTAAATCTTTAAATCTGCTAAAAGTTTGAACAAGTGGACTGTGGAGAAGGTGGGCATTGCACCTAATTCTGGGTCTGTCAATGAACTACTACGTGACCCTGAGGAAGTCACCTGCCTGGCACTTGGCATGTAGTAGCTATTAGTATTATTCTTTTGCCCAGTGTCTTTATCTGTAACACGACGTAGTTGGATTAGACAATTTTTGAGTCTTTGCCTGAAAGTTCTGTGGGTGCCTAGCTTATTCATTAAATGCACAGCTGGTCCCCTTGATAACTTGGCAAACTTTTCTTGTTTGGCTCTTGCCACCAGAATGATCTTTTAAAAAGAGAGTCAGTGTGGGGCGCCTGGGTGGCTTAGCCGGTTAAGCGTCCGACTTTCGCTTAGGTCATGATCTCGCGGTTCGTGGGTTCGAGCCCCGCGTCGGGCTCTGTGCTGACTGCCAGCTCAGAGCCTGGAGCCTGTTTCGGAGTCTGTGTCTCCCTCTCTCTCTGACCCTCCCCTGCTCACGCTCTCTCTCTCTCTCTCTCCTAGAAATAAATAAAAATATTAAAAAAAAAAGAGTCAGTGTTACTGAATTTCAACTTTATCTAGACTCACTGAATTTCAGGGTTCACCTGAAATCCTCTTTTTTACAGACAAATTTCAGAACTTACCACTTACTAATATACTGAGCAGGTAACAGCAGACTTCTAGAAGAGATACACTAATTTTTATATAATGTCAAGTGGGATAAATTTCTTCTCTCTGCTTTCCTTCCTTCTTTCTTTCCTTCCTGTCTTCCTATTTTTCTTAGATGAGCTTTTAGTTTTTAAGTGCTTCCAGATCTTTTTTATTTCAAAGTCACAAAATAAACATTCCTCAGTTTTGGCTGTGTCAAGTACCTTGGCATTATGATTGGAAAAATGTTGGGCATGCAAAGGCGCTTCTATATTAAGGAGAAGCAGAGAGAAATGAAGCCCAGCAGGGGTGCTAACTAGTATTCTCTGGGTCTCTGGCTCCCCATTTGCTGAGGGAGCCTCTAGAGAAGACAAAGGAAAGAGAAGTTAGTACAATTCTTTAGTATCCTTAGACAAAGTAGAAGCTGACTTTGTCATTTCTAGGAAAGTGGTAGTGATCCCAAGGGCAGATGCTGGATTATATGCTGGGCCCAGTGTGCTGTGCAGTGGCTCTGGATAGAAGGGTCTTGGTTGGATAGAGAGTGCCCAGCTCTGCCCTACCTGCTCAAGCTTGGGAGCTAGAGCTGAACATCCAGACCAGGGTTTCCCCTGTGCTGGGTTCCTGTCCTACATGGCTGTGCTGGTCTCCGTCTTGCATGGTTGCACCGGTCTTGGTACTTTTCAATGTTTGGTTATCATCCTCACCTCAGTAGCTTCCCCTGCTATTGCTAGTGCATCAGCTGAAGTAGTAGAACCCCGGACAGGGATAGAAAGCCTGTGTGGGCTCCTAAGGCACTGTTTGGCCTTGCATAAATTGCTTGAAACATTTTATTTTCTGACTTTTCTGCTCACTATGGAAAATCATACAAGTTAGAAAAATGTACAGAAGAAAAGAAAAGATCCCATAATGCCACAGCCAGAGACATTCAGTATTGGCCTGTTTGGGGTTTTTCTTCTAGACTAGCTCTGTCTCTGTATCTATATCTCTACAGAGATCATATTGCATTTCATTAAAAAAAAATCTTCATATATGGGGCCCCTGGGTGACTCAGTTGGTTGAGCATCTGACTCTTGATTTTGGCTCAGGTCATGATCCCAGAGTTGTGGGATTAAGCCCCACATTGGACTCCACCCTGAGCCTGGAGCCTGCTTAAAAGTCTCTCTCTCTCTCTCTCTCTCTCTCTCTCTCTCTCTCCCCCCCCCCATTGCCTCTCTCCCCAACTCATGCACACACTCTCTCCCTAAAATAAAAAAACCCCTCATATATCTCTAATATTCTCATGCAATTATTATAAAACCATCATATAGATACACCATTATTTGCTAACTAGCCCCATACGGTTGGACATTCAGGTTTCTGTTCTTTTACATGATGCTACAGTGACTATTTTTTAGTGTGGATATTCATCCACATTTATGATTATGTTCTTAGGTTTTATTCCTACAAGAGTCATGAACAAATGGAACAAATCATGTTCTGGACCCCAGTTTCCTTACCTATAATAAAGAAACATTAGAAACAACAATTATAGCAGCAAACACTTGCCCATCATATCATGTGCCAGGCCTGTGTCTAAGAGCTTTACATGTCCTAACTCATTTAATCTTCCCAGCAGCCTTGTGCATATCTTCTCCCTTTTGCAGAGGTAACCTACCCAAAGAGACATAGCCAGTCAGTGGCAGGGTAAGATTTCAACCAGTCAGCCTGGCTCACAGTCGTTGGTCTGAACGGCTGTGCTTATATGTCCCTGTGAGAGGAAAGAACTAGACCCAGCAATCCTTAGGCGACCTTTCCTCCTAACATTAGCTGCATTATTCTGTTCTATAGAAGCTATGTGCCCAAGTGACATGTTTGCCTGGTAGGAGTTGACCGGCTCCTTAAATCCTCTTCATCTGCCCATTTTTGTGTGTATGTATGTGTGTATGCTTATATAAGCTTTGGAATGGAACAGAGACAGCAGAGACAGCATGAAACAAGAAAGCCTGAACATCTATTGACAAAACAATAAACCATGGGTAATCTCTGCTATAGTTACAGATAACATCATGGTTTCCTCCTTATCTTAAGGTTCTCAGGCTCTTTGGCTGGGAAATTTGTCATTTCATCATTGAACTGGCACCTCAGTGCAGCAGGGATGAGATTGGATGTGGCTGTCTAGCACAACCCCATCCCAGAAGCACATGTCTGCACATATTATCTGAAGGGCAATTTCCCTCTCCCCAAGCTGCTATGCCCACAGTGTAAGAGCATTGCTGGGTATGAGTATTCATCCTGTAGGGAAGGAGATAATCGACAGACTCATCACTGGAATGACATGTCCATGCTGCTTTTATTGCCTACTCAATGTAGAGATTGCCAGGCCTCCTTGGGATTCTGACTCAGTAGATAAGGGAGAAGCTGGGAATTTGCCTTTATAAGACATGTGCTCTAAGCAGTTACCTTCAGGAAGTTTGTGAAATCTTAGGCAGTGGGGCTCCACCTTCACAGGACATTAGAACCACAGAGAAGCTTTTTATTTAAAAAGTACCACTTCCTGGGGGTGCCTGGGTGGCTCAGTCCATTGAGCATCAGACTCTTGGTTTCTGCTCAAGTCATGATCTCACAATTCATGAGTTTGAGTAGGGCTCGGTGCTGACAGTGTGGAGCCTGCTCAGGAATCTCTTTCGCTCTCTCTCCCTCTGCCCTCCCTTGCTCCTTTCCCCCCTCTCTCTCTAAAAATAAATAAATTTTAAAAAATACCACTTCCTGTGCCCTCTGCTGTCTTGTCCCTCTCTCCTCCTCAATTTGAATAATTGATCTAGAATGGGGTCCAGGTGCAGCATTTTTATTTATTTATTTAAAAAAATTTTATTGCTTATTGTTGACAGTAAGAGACAGAGTGTAAGTGGGAGAGAGGCAGAGAGAGAGGGAGACACAGAATGCAAAGCAAGCTCTAGGCTCTGAGCTGTCAGCACAGAGCCCGACATGGGGCTTGAACCCATGAACCGTGAGATCAGGACCTGAGCTGAAGTCGGATACTCAACCGACTGAGCCACCCAGGTGCCCCTTGGTGCAGCACTTTAAAAAAATGTTTATTTATTTATTATTTTTGAAAGAGAGAGAGAGCACAAGCAGAGGAGGGACAGAGAGAGAGAGAGACAGAACCGAAAGCAGGCTCCAGGCTCTGAGGTGACGGCAGTGCGCCCTAAGCAGGTCTCAAACTTACGAACCATGAGATCATGACCCAGGCCAAAGTTGGACACTCAACCGACTGAGCCACCCAGGTGCCCCTAAGTGCAGAACTTTTGAAAAAGCTTCTCAAGAGACTGTACTGTGCAGCTGGAGTTGGGAACTACTAGTTTAAGAAATTCTGGTGAGAATAATTTTACACCTTTCTGTTGAAGAGCACTTCATACTTTACAGATGGCTTTCACAAATGAGCGTCATAACAATGCACTAGTCAGTAGGGCGGGTATTTGTATGTCTGTCCTTGGCCCAGAGATGGTGACTGAGTTGCCCAAGTGTGCACAGCTTCTCCCTCAGTTGGCAGCAGCTGTTCTCCGCCCAGCCCAGGCCAGTCCTGCCAAGCCCTCTGGGAGGCGGCAGCTTCCCCTCCCCTGAAGATCTTTCAGGACCAAGTACCCTTAGCTTCCATTGGCCTTCTTGCCAGTGTAGATGCTGGAGAGGCTCTTTGTGTTCATTCTCACCCACATCCCTTCTACTGCAGCCACTCTTCCTTCTCACAGAGCCTCCTTGTGAAATGTACAGCTATGTTTTCCTCCCCTCTCAAGCTTCATCCCGCTTAGATAATGGCTCTGAGGGACAGAAAGGGGACCTTCTGCAGCCTGGGGACCTGGACAGTGCATGTCAGCCACAGCAGTCTGACCTCAGCCTCCCATGTAGCTGGCAGGAGCCAGGAGGCCACATCCACCAGCTGCTGCCTGGGGGATGCATTCCCTTCTCCCCAGATGGCACCTGCCATCCTGAGTTCTCACATTCACCCCCAAAGCTTCTCTACCCTGCACCTACCCACCCTTCCATCCCCCACTCCCCAACAGCCTTAAAGCCCACCTGAGTCCTTCCTGTGAGGCTGCTCTGAGGGCCAGAGGCCCTTGCAGTGGTGAGTCCCCACTCTGGACATCTGGCTGATCGGAGCTCAACCAGGTAGAGCAGAGAGAGAGAAACATAGCCAGGTAACTGCACACGACCCTCCACCGTCCTCCA